CTGACCATTTCTTTAGTCATTTTACATGTTATTAGGATCAGTAGAACGTGGGTTGTTTGTTTTTCAATCTTATCTCTTTGTAAGGCTTATATTAAAGCCAACAGCTTGTTTTGAATAATATAACATTCATTCAGATATTTTTCTGAATTGCTTTGTGCTTAGAGTTTACACAGCGTTCACTAGTATTTATTATTTAATGTTTCTTGATTGTTGTGTCCTTGTCTTGTCCACATCCTACATGCCCATTTCATGTGTCCTTGATTCATAGCCATTGGTTGATTGGTGGTTGAAAAATAATTTAATGCCTTCTTATTCTTTTCCTTTTATGTTTGGGTTTGTTTTTGTTTTGTTTTATACAGTGTCATGTATATTCTATGCAATGAAGAGCCATTGTGGATGAGTCTATGCCTTAACAATATAAATCGTCACCTTCAGTATAAAGGCTCCTGGAAGAAAACCACCCTGCATCAGTAAGTTTTTGTGTTCGGTATTTTATTGCACATTCTAAGGTATGGACTTATTTTCATGTGTGTGGCCCTGGAAAAATTTCCTTTGAAAATCTGAAAAGATAATCAGTTTTGTCCCTTATTGTTTCTTCCGGCTGCAGACTGGATCAGCCAGATGAATATGAAAAATGCTGCAGAAAACCACTGCACTTTGACGGTAAGGGATTTCATGCCTAGTTTTTTTTTGCTTCTATTCAATGTTTGTAGAGCTCGTACTAAAGGTGATGATGTTTTTACCCTCTGCAGGGTTTAACTCTTTATATCTGTATAGAAGATTATACCGGTGTTATACCACGTTGGATGGATTCTGTTTTGATAGCGGAAATGTGGAAAGAAAGAAAAACCTCTCTTTGGAGGAGTTTCATATCGAGTATGATGGACAAAAACCGGTATGTGGTTTAGTTGTTCAACCTTGAAATCAAAGAATTGAATCAAAATGGATTGGTGGATATAACATCTATGCTATTTTACATTGATGTTGTACGCCATATTATGGTCCAATGTGTTTTATTTTTCAGCTGTATTATCTAATGCTTTTTTTTTTAAACGAATATTATTTAGCTGGTGGTTGGTCATAGAGAGATGACAAGTGATCATCCGGCTTAGTGATATGTTGCTAGTTCGAGTCTAGAATCAATCTATTCAAAATGAGGGTAGGGTTGGCTACTGCTTACCTCTCCCAGACCCCATTATGGGCAAAAGTTTTGTGCACTTGAATAATATTAACCTTTGCCTTTTCTTTTCATTTCCTTTGTTTTTTACTATATTCCCCTTTCTCCATTGGGATTTTCATATCTACCTGAATAATGACTTCATATGTGGACATTTCTTATATTGTATAGGTGTATATTGTGCACTTGTTTGTGATTTTTGATTGATGTTATTGTATTGATCTCATTATTCAAACCCAGCTTCTCCCCTTCTCCCCTTCTCCCCTTCCCCCCCAACCAGGAAGGTTATAAAAAAGAGGGAAAAGACCCTTACCATTTACCGCTTTGCTATATTTAGTTGGTGTTCTTTCATGAGCTAGGTTATTCATGACCAGTGAAGTATTTTTTTTTCCCCTTATTTTGCTTCACATGGATTATGGCTGAACTCTACACCAGGTTTTGATTTCTGGATTGACTGATACTTGGCCAGCGAGGAAGACATGGACAACTGAACAGCTATTGCTGAACTATGGAGACACAGCATTTAGAATATCTCAGAGGAGTTCTCGGAAAATTAATATGAAACTCAAGGATTATGTCTCGTACATGCAAATGCAGCATGATGAGGATCCCCTCTATATTTTTGATGACAAGGTACCTTGCTTGTAACATTGCGATTTTCATTCAAAAGTTGTGAACTACTCTGACTTGCAATTCATGCAGTTTGGGGAAGCTGCTCCAGGTTTGTTGAAGGATTACATGGTGCCTCATATATTTCAGGAAGATTTTTTCGATGTATTAGATAGAGATCAACGACCCCCTTTTAGATGGCTCATCATCGGTCCAGAGAGGTCTGGTGCCTCTTGGCATGTAGATCCTGCTCTTACCAGTGCTTGGAATACTCTTCTCTATGGCCGGAAAAGGTACATCTAATAATGACATATTGGTCCTAGCATATTAAATGTGCTGTTCCTGATATATCTGTAACCTATTACTGCTTAAGCTTAAGTGGTTGGTTGTTCGCTGCCTATGTTGCTTGCTTACAAGAAACAGAGAAGCTTGGAGAAATTAAAAAAAAAAATATCTTTACAAGTTTCAAGGTGTTTTGCTGATTTAGTCTGTCCGAGTTAATGAGATTTGGTGTTCAATCTCTTACTTTTTCTTTCCTCCTTTTGAGCATGTAGCAATTAAGCATTTCATCATTAGGTGCAGTATCTCCAAAGAGGCCGGCCTTGCCAAAACTGCATGACATTGGTTCCCATACTTGTACATCCATAATGCAGTTACTGCATAGAATGAGTTTATATTTATGCGGTACAAGATTATAGGCTCAGAAATTAAATAGCGTAAAGCTTGGATCAAAGCCATGCCCATTGTAGAAAATAAAGGAAAAGGGAAGCTTGGACCTAGGTTGCATATTGGGCAATTTTGCTTGCTTGACCTTACTGACTTATCCTAAGCAATAAAACTCAGTCTGGGTAGCTCAGTTTGCTATGGGCTTGGGCCATTGTGTTGAACTCTTGGGCTTGGATTGAACAACTCAACCCACTGGTACTCTAGTAGAGAGAGAAAAAAACCTTGTCCAGCATGCACATGTATAAGGTAAATGGCATTGGTGTTCTGGTCTTTTTTAGTAATGGGAACACTGGTTGCTTGGGCTGGGCAGCGGTCTGGGTTCAAAATGTGCAGCCTGTCATTTTTGGGTTTTGTAGCACTCTAATATGTGATGTCTTACAAAAGGAAAAACTACACGCGCACACGAAAATACAAAAGAAAAAGAGAGAAGAAAATGCACACACATACACAATTACATGTCCATGCATAGGTTAATGGTATGTAGGATTAGTTAGATATTGTTAACCCCGCTCACTAGAAAATCCTCCCTAATGTGGGATGTATGTGCTCCAAAGTTTAACCTTGAACTGTAGACCTGAAGCGTAATACTTCACCGATAATAGGTGGACCTTTTCTGCTATTTATCAAAATATGGTTTATCTATGTAACTGTCATGGCATCTACTAATTTATCCGCTATAATGTACGGGGGATTTGTATCATTAACTGCTTACAGGTATTTACTGTTTCTATGCTTCAAGATATTTCAAATAGTTGATATCTAAAAGGCAATGTCTCAATTTTTTTCGGCTAGGTGGGCATTGTATCCTCCTGGAAAGGTACCTTTAGGTGTGACAGTACATGTAAATGAAGAAGATGGTGATGTCAATATTGAGACTCCATCATCATTGCAGGTATCTTATTTTGACATATAAAGCCACGGCTACCTATGCTAGTTTATTGTAATGGGTTTTTACTTTTTTTTGCGCACTTTTTCAGTTGACATTCTACCATATTCTGTTCTGTTTGCTCAGTGGTGGCTCGATTTTTATCCACTTCTTGCTGACAAAGACAAGCCTATAGAGTGTACCCAGCTACCTGGCGAGACCATATTTGTTCCAAGTGGATGGTGGCACTGTGTGCTTAATCTGGAGACAACTGTTGCTGTTACGCAGAATTTTGTGAGTTCCAAAAACTTTGAATTTGTATGTCTGGATATGGCTCCTGGCTATCGACATAAAGGAGTCTGCCGTGCTGGATTACTCGCTGTTGATGAAAGCAGTTTTGAGGATGCCAAAATGAATACATTGTGCATGGAAGATAATTTATGCTACTCAGACCTGACTAGGAAAGAGAAGAGGGTCAGAATTTGTGAACCTGCTGTAGAAGATCCAAACAGTGAAAATGCCAGAAATGATGCTTCAAAAAGTTACAGATTGTATGATCAGGAATTTTCTTATGATATAAATTTCTTGGCGACGTTTTTGGATAGAGAGAGGGACCACTACAATTCTTTATGGAGCTCAGGCAATTGCATAGGAGAACGAGAATTGAGAGAATGGTTATGGAAGCTTTGGGTTGGGAAACCTGGACTCAGAGACCTAATATGGAAGGTATTCCTTCTTGTTAGCTTCTTCTTGATGTTCACGACTCATCTTCTTGTTGGTTCCTTTAATTTAAGAAAAGCAAACAATTTAAAATTACAAAGACTGAAAAAAGGCCCATTTTCGTGGTTAGTAATGCCCTACAACATTGTGATAAATTGGAGCTTCACTTATACATAGGTATCTCGCAGGTCCAGTTGACCTTGAGTGGACTGCCTCTCTCTTCCTTCCTCACTCCCTTCCCCACTCCTTACCCTCCGGCCCCACGTGGGAAGCAGGGCCAATCGTGACATATAAAATTCTTCTTATCTAACCTACTTTTTAATGAACTGTCAAATCCAGTCTATTTTTGGTAACAATCAGTATGTCAATAATTGATTGTTTTGGGTAATTAAGGAGTAGATTCTTTGTCAAGGCTGTCCACCTTGACAGAGCCCTTTTGGTTCATATGGTCAGCAACCCAGTTACCCTTATTTATGCTCATGATTTAATTGTGTGCGCTAGTATCTCTCATTGTTTTGGTAATATTGCTCTGATTAATGTTTTTGAAATGGCCCAGGGAGCCTGCCTTGTTCTAAATGCGGGCAAATGGTCTGAATGCATGGAAAATATTTGTGCCTTTCATGAGTTGCCGTTACCCACTGATGATGAGAGGCTTCCTGTTGGCACGGGTAGCAATCCTGTAAGTGAGTTTTATGTTATGAGTCATGGTTCTCCAAAGATTGACAAGTAATGCTATTTGAATGCTAGACACACTGGTGTCATTCCCTTTCTCTCAGGTGTTTTTCCCTTTGAATGCATCCGGGGTTAGCATCACATGAATGCTTTAGCAGTTCGAATCAGAAACTTCTGAATCATTTGTTGCATCTCCTCTGTTTCCTGTTCATAATTTGAAAAGATCTTTAGAAATGAAATTGGTTTATCGATCAAAGGAGTGAATTTGATATAGCAATGGTTAATATCAAAAAAAGGATATGCCTTCATGTAGTGTATTAAACTAAATTTCCTCGCCACAATTTGGGTTAGATGTTTACTAGAATGGCATAACAGGAGACAGAATCAAAATGCAGATCTTGAAAGCAACAACTGGTTCTATTCCTGGCAAAATGTCCTTTTACAATGAACAGTCTGTTAACTTGTTCTATGTTTGTTGAACAGGTCTACCTCGTTTGTGACAATGTAATAAAAATATTTGTTGAACGAGGGACAGAAGCTTCTTTTTATGCTTTAGGCACCGAGGTATTGTCTTATTTCTCTTGATTTTGTTCCTTGAAGTGGTTTCCCGACTTTATTCAAATGTATCTTATGAACTTTGAATTGTATCTTTACAGCTTGAGTTTTATGGTCTACTGCATAAACTTGACTCTCCACTGAAAAATCACATTCCTGGTGTTGTGGCAAGTGGGTTTATCTTTTCTGAAAATGGGTCATATACGGTTGCATCTTGGGATGGCAAAGGAGTTCCTTATGTGTTTGCCAACCATAACTTCATTCCAGAAAATTGTAAAGAAGTTGATTATCCTTTTGGTATATGGAGCAAAAAACAATTTGAATATAAGAAAGCTGGGATGTCAATACACGAATCAATAGGTTCTGCTGGATGCTCAAGAATTTGGCCTTATATTGTGACAAAAAGATGTGAAGGAAAAATATTTGCTGAACTGTAAGTTGTCCATCATTTTTTTTGACTTCAAATGCAGACTGTTCACAACGTGTCCTTTTTTATGCAGTAAAATAATTATATGTACAGTTCTGTAACTATCTTCGACTTTTGTTATTTCCCTTTCCAGACGAGATACCCTCTCATGGGAGAACATTCTAAAATTGGCTTCCTTTCTGGGAGAACAGCTGCGTCACCTACATCTTTTGCCCTGTCCATCTTTAAATTTTTCGACCAGCTCAGATAGTGAATATAGAAAAGAGCTACCACGTGGTAAAAGGTCTGTGGTGGATGGCGCTGATGAAGTGAGCATTCCAGCAGAATGGTTACTTTTCATCAGAACTCTGAATGGGAGGAAAAAGGATGTTTCTAATCGGTTGACTAAATGGTAGGTTCATGTTATCTTGAAGAATTTTGATATTAAGTGTCAGGTAAATGGTTTTTGGATATACTCCACTGTGACAAGGAAACTTCTTTAGCCTTTTTTGGTTTTCATGGTATAATACCTTTGTCCTGCTGGTGTCAGTATTTGATATATGAATTCAATTTTGGAGACCAACATGTCAGACATTCAGTATCCTCTGTGAGGTATTTGTATTTCTATTTCCTTGTCCGCTAGCCGCAACAATTTCCACATGGATAAAGTTACAGAAGCAGTTTTTTATATGGTAACTTGGTGGGCAGAATTTTATTAAACTGGGTAAGAGAGAAGGACTTGCTGACTGGAGTTTCTCCTAGTCATTGGAAAAAGACATGGACACCCTATGTAGCCAGAAAGATTTTTTATGCATGCCTCAGATCTGTGCCATTCATATTAAGTTCGGGAATCAATAGCCTTTTAAACATAAGCACCCTAATAGTTAGGACGTGCCTGTGATTAGAAGTGGGCATGGCTTGCCCGGCCCAGACCCATCACTATTCCGGGCAAAGGTGTTTTTGGCCTGCAGTCAGCCCGGCCCAGAACAATGCATTTTAGAATATAATATATTACTTTTAAAATTTTACCTTTTGAGGTATAAAAAATGATAGGCATTAAACTACTGAAAAAGGTGTCCAGCCCCAGGCCTCTGGCCCATTTTTTTTGTGACCCATAACCAGCCCCAGTTGTGATACTGGCTTTGCTCACTGGGCTACTTCCAGACTGCAGCAATTTTTGTAGCTGCAGTGCCCATCTCTTTTGAGAAAGGTGTCCACCATTGGTCGAACTTCTTAGTTCTTGTCATTCTGTCAGTTGGTATGTGTATTGATAGACTATGTTCTTCATCAAATAAAAAAGGTGGTCCAATGTAGAGAGGTTGTCTCTGGGACTAGAACCCTTGATGCTAGGTCACAATGGAACAACCTTACCTTACCATTGCACCAAGGCCCACTCCATGTTCTTCATCAAATTGAAACTATGAAACATGAAAGTTGAAATACTCGAGCTTCTTGTTTCTTAAGAAACTCAGTTGAATTTTCCCTTTGTGTTACACTGATCTAGTGAGAAAGCAGAGTGGGAAGCAAACAAGTGAACCATATGTCACCCATCAAGTCAACCCCTTATTTCTCCATGTTTAAGTTTTATTAACTTTTTCATCTTACAACCTCTTGCAATTTGTAGGGGTGATCCTATTCCCAGTATACTGATAGAGAAAGTTGATGAATACATCCCCAATGACTTTTCGAAGTTTTTTACTATGTTTAAGGTGATCTCTTAGCTCTTAACCTTTAATCTGGCATCTTTTCCCATTGCTCATTTATGCTATTATTCGTATAATTATGTAAAATAAAGTCATACATGTCCACTTCATTACTTTCTCTGTTTTGTTTTAGGATGACAATGGCTTGCTGGATGTTTCTAAATCTTTCACTTGGATACACTCAGATATAATGGATGACAATATCCAAATGAAGCCTGACCTGGTCAATAATGATTATGTGAATGGCAGCAATAATGGAACGGGAGAGGAAAAATCATGGCGTCCTAGCTTCATCCTCGATTTCAGTGATCTGTCCATAGGTGAGTGCTGTTAATGGCAATTAGTTTTTCATGTGTAAGGATGATTTTATAGATTTGGAGTTTATCAAGCTTCTATTTGATAATGAAAGAAAAAAAACTACATTGAACTAAGAGGGGTCTTAGTACCTAATTGACCATACCCTTATTTCTTCTGTGTTCAGTTGTGACTTGAACTGAACACAATGACATGGGGTGGATGTGTAGTTGGTTTGCATTCTGAAATAAATCTCTTTGTATATAATATTCAGAAATGCTTGCAGATTTTTGTTTATATGAACATACGATGATGAAAATTTTATTTTGCGAGTATAGACAGCAAGAATTTATCGATATCCACTGCAGAAAGTGAGACCTCCAGCCTTATTTGTCTCACCTCGTGTTCATCTTCTTCCAGCAAAACCTTATGGTCTTTCTTGCTGTCTTAACTTACAAAACATGTCTCTTGGTCAAGCTTTCCAAACATGGAGAAGCATTTCGGATAAGTCCACCTGAAAAGATTCAGATTCGAGTTTGAAGGTACCTGTTTAGGGTTGTTTTCTTTTCTGGCACACAATGGGGGCCATTGATCTAACTAGCACATGAAGTCATGAACCATAGTATGCCAACCTGGACGCCCATAAATCTATTCTGTAATATCAATGGTATTGAGGAGTTTGGCCTTTTTGGTGTCTCCACCCTAAAATGTTGGACTTGGGATCATGGGAGGGGCTCCTGAATGTATTAATAAAACTAACCAAAAAGAGGGGGAAATAACCACCTGAAAAATGGGCCGATTATAATATAGATTACGGAAGATGTGCAATGTGCATAAGTCCGTCCATTCTTTTAAATGTTTGTGGAAGTCACATCATTGTTTGGCATCAAATTAAGACATTTGGCATGGTTGCTTCTGTTTTTGCTTTCACAAAGTACACCTAGAATTTTTTTGTGGTATTATCCTCTCAGTTGTTACAGATGACAATTGACTATTTTAGATATACCATATTTGTCAGAATCCAGGATCAAGTAGCTCTTTCGCATCCTGCTCACTGCAGAGCATATTCTTTGTTCATGTATTGATTTGATCACCCTGTATAAGGTTCTCTTTTTAAATCAGATATGCATGGCGGAGACTGATTGAGTTTTGGTTTTTTGGAAACTATTTTGGCTAACACGCAATTGTAACAATGACTTTTGAGGTTGTAGCTCTATTCTTTTCCTCTCAACTCTTTACTCTGGTACACCAATGACATGAATACGGGGCCATAGGTTACTGCCTTTTGGACTGCCAGCATGATTCATTGATTATTCTTGTTCTATGAAGCACCGACAGAGGAGGTGACGCATCTATGTCGGACACCGACACTCTTCGGACACTTTTAGACACGTATCTAATACTCTTTTATCTGTGTCATAATTAAATGATAAAATTTTAATTTCGGACACGTGTCCGAAACTTCTTTAGAATCGTGTCCGAAACTTCTTTAGAATCATGTCTATTACTAACCTATAAATATGTGTTGAAATCTGATTAACAAAGTTTAGAAATTTGAGAACATATAATTCCTAAAATTAGACATGTTAAAGTTGTACCCCAAATATAATAATAATAATAATAAAAGATGCATAAAAGTTTTAAAAAAGAGGATTTGAAAAAATGAGAGTAATTATTTAAATTATATATTAAGTACATATTTTCTACAAAAAATTTGATGATTATTGACTATTATGAGGATGCTTTAGTCTAAAAATTCACACAAATGACTAGACATAAGATTTACTTATCATAAAATACTGAATCTTTTATGAATTGTATATCATTATCACTATATTTGTAATAAATTATATAATGTTGTATATAAAATATAATTTTTTATAGCGTATTCCCAACGTGTTTGTGTTCTATTTTTTTTAGAAATGTCTCGGCGTGTTCGTATCATATTCATGTCCCATGTTTGTATCCATGCTTCTTAGATTCTGTTAGGAGGGAGGGGGATTTGTCTTTCCAGCCCAATTTATTTGACACATGGAAATACTGGTCCTACACCCTCCATGATTGACGTGTCAGCATGTGGTTGAGACTCTTTGGCTTAGAGGCAGCGATAAAAGTAGGAAGGCAAGTGGAGTATCTTTGATCATGGGAAAAGAAGGCCACTATGCACTGGGTTTACAGAGCTATTTAAGGGCTTCACATATGCATATGGAAGTTCTCCGCTTTCATATTCTTTCTACTTTTGGGAATAATGCAATGATAATGGTTTGAATTTAGTTTTGAACTAGAAAGTATTTGTAAGTTGATTAGTTTGAATGGTTTCTATTACCAATGGCTTGTCTTACCCATGCATCACCCAAAATAGTCAATGTAAGTCAACCAACACAAGTACATATGTTATAGGAAACATAAATCATACTTGTATCTAGTTTTTTAATGTGTTTTTCTTCAATTTCATGCTTATCAACTAATATTTAGTTTTCCTCTTCTTTTGTAGGGGACCCCATATGTGATGTGATTCCCATACATCTGGATGTCTTTAGAGGAGATACTTGTCTCCTAAAGCAGTTTCTAGAAAGCTATAAACTTCCACTAGTGAGAAGAAAATCAAAGAGTGAATCAATAGAGGGGGGCGATAAGTTTGGGCGACTTTCGTACCAAGCAATGTGAGTTAAGATTGGCTTACAAGGTCTTTTTATAGTGTGGTTCTTCAATAGAATTTCAACTGAGATCGTATATATTGGCATGTGGCTTACTGTTTGCATTGAAATATTCACAACATATGAGCCCCTCTGTATGAACTTCTTATAGGGAAACAATCTCTACTAGTCTTTAGTTTCACTAGGACCTTCTCTTGAATCTGATTGACATCCTAAAGAACTGCAAAGTGGATTAATTAGTATATTTTGAGACCGGACCAGGGGTGTGCCCATTCAAGAGACTGGGTCATGAATTAAGCAGTCAATTGCTTGATCAACACGTTACATTGTGGCATCAGCATGATGTTAAGAGAAAGAGAACAATCCACCACATCCTGATATATAGTGTTTGAAAGAATGCTGTGAAGATCTAGTCATCAAACAAATCAGGAAGAAAAAGTTGAAGGGAAACCATAAAAAATAGAAGTAAATATTGGGTGTAACAGTGATACTACGTCACTAGTACCACGTGGTGTTACCATCTAATAATAAACCTACAATTGGGCAAGGTGAACCACACTTGGTAGTTATTCTCATGCATGGATAGGGTAGTTACTAAATTAAGTAGAGTCCACTTATACGTGTTGATTTATAATTGTTGTGATACCACGTAACAATGGTGACGTGGTATAACCGTTACATTAATATTTTATGCAAAAATAAATTAATGATGAAGAGAAAGGATTCAAAATAAATGTGTAAGGAGTCAAGTGGGTGCAGCGTTCTCCTGTCTCGTCTTCAATGAATAAATCGAGATGGTTCAGTAAACATGTGACCAATTCAAGTGTGTCACAGCTAAACCTCCCGGTTTATGTTGGTTATCCGGCTGGTACGGTCTTGTAAAATTTTTTCTTCAGTTCACATCGGTACTATATTCCTCCTTGAGACATAGTTTTTTCTCCGCGGTTATTAATATAGTATTAATTTCTTCACGTGAATATGTGTAAAGAAAACTTGACATCTCCGATCATGCACATCTCTCATTATGGTTGTCGTTGCCACAAAGATTGTTTCCAAGTTGCACTCAGCATTCACTACATTTGTGACGTTAGCATAGCATTTTGACGATTCATGCCGATGGTTTAATGCATACAGGTGTTACTGTATATTGCATGAAGAGAATGTCTTGGGAGCTATTTTTAACTTATGGAAAGGACTAAGGATGGCAAAGTCATGGGAGGAAGTTGAGGAAACAGTGTGGGGAGATCTGAATAGTTACACTAGCCTCTATTGACCAATCAGTTTTCTTAGTTTTCCGAGACTCAGGTACACAAGGCTTTGCTTCCTCTAACATCTCTACTACTTGAACATTACAAAAGTGGTCACACTGTTGATCAATTTTTTGCAGTTGATGATTGTTGTTGTGACAATTTGATCGATAATTTAATTATTCTTTCTGCAATGAAATGATTTTTGGCATTGTGTAACACCTTGTGAATGTTATAATTGTAAAACCCGATAAAAAAAAAATATTATTATTATTATTAAAATCCTAATAAAAGGGTAAAATAATAATTAATTGTTAAATTATGGGTCAAAAACGTAAATTTAAAAAAAATAATAATATATATATATATATATAAGTGGAAGACTTTGTCTTCCACATTTTATGTTTTCTACAGCCGGCGACACAGAGAGAGTGAAAAAAAAAAATGAGTTTTTATTTTTTTTTCTCTTTTCTTCCTTCTCAGATCTAGGAAAATTTAACCGTTTAATCGCTTCGGGCCAAGAACTAAAGTTGCTCTACTCAGGGAGAGCTACGCAACCACACCAAATATCGTATTTTTCTTCGAAGGTATATCAAAGCCGATAATCTAGACCTAAAACTTAGAAAGCTAAATTTGGGCTTCCTTGGCGTTCTAGTAAGTGGTCTCACGCTACGAGAGGTAGGGTTTCCCCTATTTAGATTTAATTTCAACTTAAAATATGACATATGGAATGAGTAGATTATGAGTGTATATCACATGTTAGGTCTTGACTAGTGGGTCAAATATAGAATTTATAATTAATCTTGTGATTAATAAAATTCTATTGTGATTAACTTGGTGTAAGTTAATGTTAGTAGTTTAAAGCATGTTAATTGTATGTTAGCATTACTTTATATTTTAATGGCAGATCAAGTTTAATAAAATTATTAATTTGTTATATGATTGTGAAATAATATATATATGTTAAATGATTATTTTGGTGGACTTGTGCTTATGTTAAACATGTTGTCATGTTGCAAGTCATAGCATGCTAGTTATGTAAATTGATGTGCTCTTTAGGTGTTTGATTAAATGCCTAGGTGAATACAAATATGTTAGTTGAGTTGATTATCTTACATAACATGCTTGAGATCGTGTTAAAATGTCATTACATTGTCTTTCATTATGCATGAGTTGCACTACATTCATGGGCATTGACATGGGTGAGAGTGTATGCATGGTATGAAATCAATCACCACGTACGTGGTTGAACGTGGACTCGGAAAAGTCGCACCAAGGTTCGGTTGAGTCGCACGAGAAATTAAATGGATAAATGTGTTGGGGACAGCACGAAGGGCTAGATTCTCCCTCGGGTGCAAGACCCGCTTATTTGGTTTATACACTTTCCGGCGGTGAAATTCCAAAAAAGTGTAACGGCGGAAACGGAGCCGCAGGTGGGATGTCCTAAAGATCCGTTGATGGTTGGTGTCCCATTGGTGTAATACCATAAATCATCTCCCCACAAAGACACAAGAAAATGAATGAATTAGCATTGAGTGTACATAACACCAATGATGGGGGCTTGGAATGCTCGGATACATACGCATGACATTGCATGTGTTATGGGAGCTCAGGATGGGGCTCGGGGTTGGTATTGCTTGCGTGAGTCTCATCTCATGGCATGGCATGATCTATAACATTCAATCATAATAGACATATTTAAATGAATGTATCAAATGATTGTTGCATGTGACATTCTATATTCATTTAGGTTGAGAGGTATTCTCTATAGGAGTTACCCTATTGAGCGTTAGCTCACCCTTTATGGGAACATTTTTCAGGTATCGCACAGGCTTCCACCGAAGGCGAGGCCATGGGCCCGCTTTGACGACAGAGCCGGTCTGTGGCTTTTATTTTGACATTGTAGTCCCTTGTTTATACTTACTTTTGGCCTTGTATAATTTTTGTAACAAACATTGTTTATATTTACAAAGGCATGTATATGAGACTCTTTTGGGACATTTATTCTTTTACGAATAAATGTATGTATTGATAATGATTATGGTAGTATTCGAGACTATACAATTGTGAATGGATAGATAGACCCGGTGTGGTCAATGTTGTACAGGTTGCGTTTTGAGTAGAGCTCCTTGTACAAAGGAAACTCTGTCCAAATTTTGTTAAGTTATGGATCCCAAGAAATGGGGCATAACGGTGTGGTATCAAATTACACGATATCCACCAGTATTACACAGGTCGATGGATAACCAATCGGATAATTACAGACACCCGGACTTTGGGGTGTCACAATAATACCTATATGTTTTTGTGTTTTCGTGCACCTCATGAAAAATCTAGATTCTTCTAAACCTGTTTCAAGCATCAGAACTTACCGCTCCTGCCAGTATCGAAACATTTTAGCAAATAGAATTGAACCTCCTTGAAGAGGTTGAACAGTTTACGAATTTTAGATGCCCTCTTCGGACCTCTCATTCTTCGTTTCTTCGTGTCAGTCAGCCCAGGAAGATCATTCTCACCCTCCTTCACAATAACCAAGTTCAGAACATAAAGGTCTGGACAGAAAATACACCCACGTAGACTTCTTCCGACGCTCTCCATTGTGCCTACCATATCCATGGAAGCATGGCGTCCCTGTCAAACCAAAATAAGGTAGTACTAGAACAGTATCGTGTGACAGAGCACACAAGAAGAAGCTCTAGCAAAATATGCTTCTACAATATCTGTGATAAATCATAACGGCTGGTAGGGACTATTGTTAATGTGACATGGAACACCAGAAAGGATTGTACACTGACCTCTGTGGAGCAAGAGACAGACACGGCCCGGAGCAACAATACTACATCTACCAAAATTTTTACCAAATTTTGAATCCTAAATCAATGTAAACCATAGGATTAATAGGTTCCACAAACTCTCACTAACTATTTAATGGCTATTAATGTGACACGTCATTTGGGATCTAAAAAATTGGTAAAAATTTTGGGGGACACGGCATTTCTCTGGCCAAGAGTTAACACCCCTGTTTCATAGGAAAAAATGCTACGTTTATTAAATTTTTTTCCTAAATCTTTGATCCTAATTAATATGACACAATCTCCTAGCAAACAATCAAAAAGGATTGAAGTAAGTAGAAAAGTAATAGTAGAATAAGAAAGCCCCCACCACCACCACTACCACAACCACCAATCACCACCACCAACAGTACTACAGCACACCACCACCCCCACCCCCACCCACTATTCTTCTTCAAGTGTCATTAATATAGATACAATATACCATTTAGAGGATTCAACCAAGACTATCAACTATCGATTCTAAATTCTAATATCACATGTTGGGAGATCGGGAGCCCAATGACACAAGACCTAAAAGATATTCTTTATTCATGAACTTTCTCTAGTTGTTATGAACGTGCAGTGCGGTGAATAATCAAGAATGAAAATAATCATGAATAAGAATACAGGATTTACGTGATTTGACAAAAAAATTATCTACATTCATAGGGGTAGTTGCTTTCTGCTATGTATCAAAATCCAAACAAATTACAACGAATACAATTTATACAAGTAAAATGACAAATTGAGCAGCTTTCTCAACATTGCAATCTACCAAACCTAATAGATTCTAAAAACTAAGAGAATATATCTGAAAACTACCCAAAAAGCAAAAACCATGGAGGTGTCGATATAATTTATCCTCTCTTCTTCTTTTTTTCATTGAAAACTAGTACAAGAACATGCTTTTTTGCATCGATTAGACACGCTTAAATCACATCTTCCACCTTGGGATATGACTATGGTACCAAAAAAAAAAATTAGTATTGTACCTCCAAGTTTTATTACATTAATAAGTATTTTTATAACTTTTATAGACATTTTACAACAAAAAATAAATAAATAAATAACTTTTGTAAGTGATTTATCACTTTTGTTATACTTACCATCAATCGTAACATGACAATACAATGAATAACGAATTATTTTTTTTTTTTAATAATGTAGACTTTATCTTCCTCCTTGAAGCGCACTGGTTCATTGGAAGTCTAGGGGCCAAAGCACTATTTTAGTTCAAAAGCCATGTAAGACATACAAAATCTAAAGAAAGTTACATAGTAAACAAGAAATGATAGTGTTTCATCAGCTTAGCCAACAATACTTCTTTATCATTCGTGCTTACAAAGGAGGAAAAATCAAGCTGTATGAGTGGGATTAAGGTTACTAGTTACATGTCATTAAGTGGACCCAATGATCAGCTTAAATTAATTACTTTTTGCTCTTCTTTTTTGAGAGATCTCCAAGAAAAAATATGATATTTTTCAATGAAAAACCATAAAAATTTTGGGGTAATTTTCAATTGAATAATGTTATATTGACAAAAAAATTTAATAAAAAATAAGAATTAAATGATGTGATATAGCATTAATAATATTTTTAATCCTACTTTTATTCATCTAAAATTCAAGTTTTGCATATCATCTTGACTACCACATTATTTGGACTTTATTTTTAGTTTAAATTTTGGTCACATGGCATTTCCTATTTTAGTTACGTGACATAATATTTGAATGTATTTCCTGGTTACAGGTAAATTCTTCAGTGCGACACGAAAATTTCACTCCCAATTTTCAATTGAAAAATAATTTATCTACCTTCTTGATTACACACATTGGGTCAATATTAGTCAACGTAAAAATTAACTAGATTTGGTCAGAATTGTTTAAAATTGTAAGTGGTGATCTGTATAATAAAATTCAAAATTTTTGAAAATAAAACATAGTGATGATGTAGATCGTTTACATCTAACGACTAATCTTAAAATCTACATTCTAATCACCCACCTATATATCAACTATACTAAAAATTTTAACAATCCACTTTTATTTTGACCACATACTTACCTTAAAAACACGAACAAGAAAAAATCATACAATAATATAACAATACAATTATGACCTAATCATGTGAGTTGACATAATTTAATAATATTATTGTAATTATAATAGGTTTGTTTCATTGAGAATATATCTCTTGCTTAAGGCACATTATTAGGTCTCAATAATAATATTTCATAGGGTTTTTTGCACTTTTCACCATGAAAGATTAAAAAAATTATTATGCATACTCAAAGATTAAATTTTTGATATTGCACTTTCAGGGCTCGTTTGGTAGACGTATTATGAGGGGATCAAATATTGAATTATACTATTTTTTATTTAATCGGGCCTAATTCTTTGTTTGATAAGCAAATTTGATACCATATTAATTTCAAAAACGTATATTGATCGTATACTTATCGTATATTTTTCATACGATCAAACTGTATTATGAATGTCTTTTAATACCATAAAGAAAGGTAGTATTATAATTCAACTCAAACGTATTATTTTACATATTTACTATTATAACCGCTCAAGTGATAAAATTAAGTTGTTATTAATATAACAAACACTGATTGAGGGTATTTTTGTTAATTTAACATTAATACGATGAAATAATTATCTAATCAAACAATTGATTGGATTAAATAATTATTATTCAACGCTTATATTTTGTATTACCAAACACTAGATAAAATTACGTATTATTCTAATATCATATTTAATCTTGTTTTTTATACATCTGTATTGTATTAGACTGTATTATTTTATCCAATCCATTTATTTATAATACGGCAATCAAACGAACCCTCAATGTATTAAAAGTATTGTAATGTGACCCATCTATTAGCGTCCATTGCTTTTTCCGTCAAATGCTAACCTATTGACACTGACGAAAAGCTAACAGAATGATCACATTATAATATTTTTTGTACCTTAAGGATACGATGTAAAAATTTTAATCTTTGAAAATATTAAGTAAAAAACTTGAAATCTTACGAGGTGAAAATTATAATTTGCCCTATTTCTTATAACACTAACATAACTCATACCTGAAGGCACAGTGCAACGTAAGTGAGAATAATGGATTTTTTGGAGGGGAGGACAAATTCAATGTAAATAATTTTGAAAAGGATATTGATAGTCATTAGATAAGTCTATTTGAGACTGTTAGATGGACTTATTGAAGTCTACCTTGTTTTATTAGAAAAATTTTATTTCAACATAATTTGAGGATCTAATCTGAGGTTAGGACTGACAACTAATTTAATGATTGTATTGAAGTCACATCATTAAGTCTCAGATTAGGTCTTCAAATAAGGTCTTGTAGCATTGCTCTTTATATTATAGATAAATGTCTTATTCTTCATCCAAGGATAGATTAAGGAATTTAGTCTTAGGGAGCTCCTTAAATTTATTTTATTGATAAATCTACATGGACTACATATTTTGAAAGTATTTGATGGTACCACGAGTATGCCCAAGGTTGAGCTCGGTAACGCAAATCATGTTCACTTAGGTTAGGAGCTCAGCTCGTGTTCTATGTAGACCTCGACTTCAGACCTTAAATTCCTTGTGTCTGCATCTCTAGGAAGATTGTACAAAGAACAACTGGATTCCACCAAGTACCCATTTTGTAGCAACAGTTACTCAACAGGCACAAGTCTCATAACCGCCCCAACACCCACCATAGCCATTGCGCAATAAAGACAACTTTTATAAGAGAATGGTAAGGATTTCACCTCATATCAAGCTAAACCTAGGGATAACTATAAATAGGAAGCAAAGCCCACGACAAAAAAAAAAAAAAAAGGCAATTGTAGCCTCACTAAAATACTCTGTGTAAATTCCTTAGTTATCAATATAATCCTAGTAGCAAGAAACTCCCTTGAGAATAGATTAGTCAAGCTCCCGAGATGGTGAACCACTATAAACACTCTGTGTGATAACCTCTTTCCCTAGGTTTTATTCCCAAGAGCCTTGGAGCTTAGACTGAACTAAATCAAACTATTCAGTACACTTTACATTCACACCTCTATTCAATCGTGCTAATAACATTATCAATTGGTGCCGTCTGTGGGAACGGCTGTTCCTGTTTAAAAAATACTGAAATTCTTCAATAACTGATGGTTTCTACGTGCAACATGAGCAGAAGTCAAGTAAATCCCCTTCGATTACAAAATTAACAGGAAGTTACCACTAGAGGACAGCGAGAAAATCCCCGTGATTTCTTGCCTACACACGAGATTAATCATCCCATGGTGGATCCCTTACCAAACAACGAACTAAAGGGCCCTTTGCTTGGCCAATCAGCGTCTTCTCCAGCAGAATGAAGAGTTGCTAAATCTCCCCCAGCGCCCCCAAAGGGCACAACTAACCCAAGATAATGCCCCACAGAGGGAACAACATCACAACAACCCCCTGAGAGACATCATTATGGGGGATGAACGTAACCAAACGATGGGCAATGCCCATCATCGAGCTCGTAGAAACGAGGACAACGAGGAGGTGCAAAGTCAAAATAGGAAAACTCATAAGAATGAGTTTCTCCCATTACAGTAGGAAGGGAAGGGATAATATTGAGAGCAACGCTTTAGGGATATTCAACAAGAGCTCAGCCACATAAAGGAGGCTGTAAGAGGCAAAACTCCAGTAACCATGGATACCTTAGTTCAGCAAACTGAGTCTCCATTTACCGCATAGGTGCTACATTTTTCACTTCCACCAAAATTCAAAATGACCCAGATAGAGGCCTTTGATGGGACGAAATATCCTATGGACCACCTCAATACCTACAAAAATCAAATAAAGCTATATAGGTATTAGGATCCAGCACAATGCCAAGCTTTCGTCATCACTTTAAAAGGTTCAGCCTTAACATAGTTTAACCGACTGGCCCCAGCATCTATCTCATCCTTTAGAGAGCTCTCCATCTCCTCTGTTTCACACTTCATAGGAGATCGAAC